CACACACACACACACAAAATGGATATGAAGGAGAGATCAATCTGTCTTGTGGAGCCATTGCTGAAAGAACAACAGATCTCAGGGTCCTGCTCAAAACCACATCAAGAAGTTTGACTTTTGCTGCTCCATAGCCGCAAGCTTTCATCTCCTAATCTGTGACGTCTATCTGAGAGAGCTTCAGCCTCAGAGAGTCTGGAGAGAGAGGAGGGGAAGGGAAAGGGAAAGGGAAAGGGAAAGGAAAGGAAAGGACAAGATGGATGAGAGGAAAAGACAGAAGATGAGATAAGAGAAAACAAGGACAGATGAGAAGACAAGAAAGGAGAGAAAAAGTTGAGGAGCTGAGATGAAAGGTGACAAAGTGAGTCGAGGTGTAGTGAGATGAGAAGGCAGGGAGAGGTGAGTCTTTGTTGCTGTCTGTAACCCTGGTATCATCCGGTGAAGAACTGCATCATCCATTTAGCCTGTCCCACCATAACAGAGACTTCTTTATTACTGTAACAGACTCCTTTCTGTTTTTCTCTACACCATAGTTTGACCTCTCTCTCTCTCTCTCACCACTGACTTGCCTGGTGAAAGATTTGCATCAGGTCCGTGTGAGAAAAAGAGAGCGAAAGAGAGAGAAGAGAAATGCACAACAATGAGAAAAGCCCCGAAAGAAAACATTTCCTCGGTCCACCGAGGGAGCTGCGTGTGCAGTTTTAACAGTGTTGTCAGTCACCACATAATACTCTCGCAGCAGAATACAGCGTGTCCTCGGGCCGTTTCCTGCACACACTCTGGTATCACTGACACACACTGGGCTGGGCGGAGGAGCACAGACACTATTAGCACTGTGTCTGACTCTCTGACAGAAGCTGTCAACACTCTCCAATAAATGTATGTTTTCTGAGCTAAGAATAACGGTGACCTCTTCACATTTAATTTACAGCAGCAATTAGCCAAAAAAGGTTGTTGATTAAGACAAAAGTTATTTACAGTGAGGGCAATTAGCTGCCCCCCTTTGGCTGACGGGGCATGCGATTGGGTGGTGAAGAGCTTGGGTTCCCTCCAGGTATTTTACTAGCGCAGGTTATTCCACTCCATTCTGACTATTGCAGACTCCTCACGGTCATGTCATGTTGTGTCTCTGTCTCTACTAAGCGTGAACTCTGGGAAGTCCCTTGAACTCCATGAAAGCCTTTCACTCATTCCCTCACAGGAAAACCAACAGGCCGAGAGGAAGAGAAAAGGAAGCAGGGAGAAAAAAGGGAGGAGCAGACAGACAGACAGCATTAAGAGGCAGAAAGAGAGATGAGAGGCAGCGGCCCTATTCCTGTATTTACACTTCCATTTACTCAACTGTGAGCTTGCTGTACTGCTGTGTGCCCCGGCTCTGACCAGGGGGATCTGGCTCCGCACCCCACCCGGCCTATCGGGGATAGCGCTTAATACCCACGCTGCCCTGGATGATGAGTATTTACTCAGAAAACAGATTACAAAGGCAGATCTATTGGTGTGACTCACCACAGAGCTTCAGTCTCCGACCCCACAGCCACAGATATGAGACTCTGAACCCTGAGACCCATAGAGCAAGAGTGTGTGTCTGCATACCGCGTCTACATGCACACACACTGATGCACAGAGCCGTGTATACAAACAAAGCATGTGAAAGCACATATAAGAGCACACACGCACACTATGTGGTTGCTGGCTTACCCTAGATGACGTGTGTGTGGCACTGCCGGATGCTGGCGGACCCGGGGCTCTCCTCTCAACCCTCTGCAGGAAAGTCTCAGTTGTCCTGCAATAAATATACACATTACATCCTTGCAGATACACATGTCAAAAAGACAAACACACACAAATAATAAGGAGTATTTGTTTACTCCGCAGACACTCCACAGGCCTGGGATGCCGACAGTACTGGAGTCCCACAAAGTTGACCAAGTTTGTTTGTCCCTCTCTGACACTGCCCTCCCCGCTCACAAGCATCTGATCCGCTCTGCTGTCTCACTCCATCTCCTTAGCCCCGTTTCTAAATCTCTTCATTGTTTCTTTAGGTTCACACTTTGGTCTGCTGTCTCCTCTTTTTGTTTCTCTTGTCAGGGAGCCAGAGATGCTACTTGACAAGCAATTTTCCTCAGAGCCGACCATGTATAATATTCCAATAACATCTTGGGGTAATTGATTTAAAGTGGTCTGAGAATATGGCATGGAAACTGTGTGTAGACAGTAGACACTCTGCATCATTATATATATACATATATATAAGACAAGGGGTGTGGAGTATGGAGACATAGGCATTTATCAGGTGCTAAAAGTCAGTCACTCTACTAACTTTGACGGTTCCCTGACTGAGCAAGCTCAGCATGGACGGCTTTGGCCCTTTGCTTCTTGGCAGTCCTGACTCCACTGTTGAGTGAAATGTTTCAAATTATTGGAATGAAATTTGGGCGTAAAACTACACGAGCCTCAGCTTTACTCAGCAAATGTGAGCATGCTATCATTCTAAACTATCCTTTTTTACAATAGCAGAAAACCAGCATTACCACTGCTAACAAGTTTGAATAAGTAAGAGAGGGCAATCAGAGGTGAACCTTGTGTCGCCTGTCTTCATGCCTCGCCTGACATTTACAACTGATACGCCCTGTTTTCCCTTTTTCTGCCAACCGAAAGTGCATCTTACTAAAACTCCACTGATAATTATAGGTCAGCAGAGGATCAGACATTGGGCGCTTCCTTTGTAAAGGGCTGGAGATTGTGTCATTTGATGCATCTATGACTAAGATCCATTGCAGAGCAAGAAAGAACACAACACAGCACAGCAAACAACACAATACCGCATGGTGACAGTGATGAGACCCAAGTGAACCTGATCCAGGGCTGACCTGAGGTGATCCTGCTTGTGCTGCTCCCTCCTCCTCTGCTCCTCCTGTCGCTTCCTCTCCTCCTGGCGCTCAGCCTGCAATGCATCACAGTCAACAGTCAACCGACAGCACACAACCGGATGCATGGCATGCGGCCACCATCCAAGTCAATACTACATGAGTGATATGTATCTCAATCTTCTTTGATAGACTTAAGTTACCAGTTACACATTCAACATTCTAGGTATGTCCCCATCTGATCTCAAAGATCGGTATCGGGTCTTATCAAGGCATTTTTTAGCTGATTGTTATTGACTATGTCAGCACAAACCTAAACCAGATCATTTGTTTTATTAAGTACAAAAGGTTTTGGAATTGGTTCAGTAGACCACCTCAGCCGACAGCCGTGAAACGGGCTGCTATGGCTGCAATGTAACCCTTGGCAGCGAATGCGCCGATCAAACTCTGTCCACAAAAAGTTGTTTTTGACAGGTTCAGATTGTTATCATCAAGTGTGTGACAACATTACGGAAATCCCTACAGACGGGGGACCTTTCTGCTAAAGGATCCTTTTTGTTTTACTACAGCTGCACTAAGTGGAACTGTGGAGAGCCATATTTGTTTTAGGTGCACTAGGTAACTTTTTGTAATATTTGCTGACTGTCACTATATCCTATATCTCCTCCTGTTGTACCACGACACAGATAATCTGTGGGGAAAAAAATCCTCATTCCCGGGTTGTCAGTATTTGACTCAACAATCAACTTTCTTATATCTGATTGGTTGTTTTCATTCAGACACAATGGATTTTTGCAAATGCCATTAGGAGCCAGAGTAAGCTGTTTTTGTGTCCCTTAGTTACATTTTCATTTTGAGATTTTATTCTGGCACCAGTGATGTGTGCATCCTGACCACGTGGGTTGTTACAGTGTGTATTTACTGTAAAACAGGATATTTCTACACAGATCAAGAAGTTGGCTGAGTCCAGGAGCAGGGATGAGCTGTAGTATACTCAGTTTTATGGTCTGTATGGATGTACTCATGATCCAGAGGCATGTCTTTGCCAGCCTCTTGTTAGATCACGTCTATAGACTAAGAAGAGGCTCTTTTGCATGCATCTGTTTGTGAGCTGGATTACCAGTACATTCCTATGGTTTGATAGAGGCCATGGCGCAACAGGGAAAGGTCTGTGGAATACCGCTTTGGTCTTCAGCATTATCCACATAACTGTAACAGTCCATTAACCACTATTAGACCAAAAGCTGGGGTGGAGTAGAACATGTCTGAGAACAGTGAGGAGCCATCTTTGGTGGATGAAAACACGTGACCATTTATCAGGTTGTTCTCATGGCTTTAATGCAGGGTGTGTGAGGGAGGACTGCTCTGAGACACATGGACCTGCCACAACTCACATGGTTGCTTGACTCTACTGACATCTAGAGGTGAAAAATATTGTTCCTCCCTGAGGGAAGACAAACAAGTCACCAAAATCACCTAAATCTATCTACCCAGTCATATATCCATACCTATAGCATTTTATCTGTTGATCGATTAGTGGTTTGGACCATAAAATGTCAGAAAACGGTAAAAAATGTTCCCAGTGTTTCCCAAAGCCCAACCTGACGTCCTCAAATGTCTAATTTAGTCCACAACCCAAAGATATTCAGTTTACTGTCATATAGGACAAAAGAAACCAGAAAATATTCACATTTGAGAAGCTGGAATTAGAATTTAACCTTTTAACCAATTAATTGATTATCAAAATAATTGCCTTCTTATCTTTGGCTCACACAAAAGTGCAACAACATCAACTGGTTGAAACTAACTGCTAAACAGAAACTGAAAGATCAGTTCATGCAAAGTGATCCCAGAAACATGACGTCATGTGATATTTATGCAGAACTTAAACAAGAGCTTAAATTGGAAAGGTGTTTGTTGTACAAAAAACAAAAGTACCAATTTTAGAGTAAACAACACCAGAATTCCTAAAGTCACTGGGAGACGGGCTGGATAGAACCCATAGGGTCTGCAACCTTTGTAATCACAAACATATTTTGTTTGAATGTGAGAATATAATTATAATGAATTATAGAGAAAGATATTTGCTAAAGTATTATTTAAACCATCCATGTTTACAAAAATGTAGCTACAATCAGATGAGCCTAAAGTTATTTGTAAAACTAGGAGCCTTTCTGATGAAGGTCCTTCTTTTGTTTAAGTAACATTTGTTGTACTTTAGCCACGCACTTGTTAAATGGTAAATGGACCTGTACTTGTACAGCACCTTTCTAGTCTTCCGAC